AACATTTATTATAATTCACACGGTAGAGACAAATTTTCTGAGGCATGTTGAGCCCATCGGGATCCAGGCTCAATCGAACTCCATCAACCCAGTCAGAGTTGTCGGAATCTCGGTATGAAACAGTGTCCTCCATGCTCCCAAATCTCTCCCAAGATAAATCGTTTGGATCCAAGATTGGTTCGGCTCGCCCTAATAACAAATTCTTAGTCACTCAAGTCAGGTGGTTATTTAAAATAGTGACACTTACAAGATGGGCGGATGCTAAAAATCACAAGTTCGTCGTCCAAGTTTCTGTTCAAGGCTTCAACATGGGGGTTGGTCTCTTGTTGAATGACTGAGGAGAATTTTGGACGTTGATCGTGGTTGTTCTGAACCACCGGCTGAGAGGGAGGAGGCACAAGTGATTTATTTTGGGGTAAATGAGTGGTTGGAGTTGACCGGGTTGCTGATGTCAAAGAAGGTAGACTTGGAGGAGGAGGTAAAGTTGATCGATTCTGGGGTAAAGTTGTGGTTGATGTTGAACCGGTTGCAGATGTGAAAATGGTCGAAGGAAGACTGGATTCAGAGCTGTCACTTTCAGCGTCTGAATGCAAATCTTCATGATATTCAGTGTCCTTTCCTGATCGGAGAGCATATCGTGCAGCTTGAGCGTCAATTCCTTCTTGTTCTTCTTCATCAAGGGTGTGCCGTTCAAAGGTGTCCCGGTCATAAATCAAGTCGATCGCCTTTTCCCGCCTTAAGAAAGCGACAAACGATTCGTAATCTTCAACAGATCCTCCTTTCTTGGTGCCTAACCGACAAAACCTGAAGTGCTCGACACCAAACATTTCCCTGTCCTCAGTCATCTTTGTCCGGAGTTCCACTTTACCGTTGAACTTGTTGCAGAGCGTGTCGATCAGCTCTTGAAAAGAATCAGGATTTGACCAGAGCACAAACTGATTGCTTCGAATGACCGATTGCAAAGGGGCATATTTGCCTCGGGCCCACATCTCAAAGCCACATTGGACCGAAATCTTATCAGGAGGATTCGTAGCAGGTAGGGCACCTTTACTTGCCGGAGCTCTTCTTGCAACTGTACGTCCGACTCGGTTGTTCGGGTAAGGTTGAGTTTTCGAGACTCTTGAAGCTCGGGCCGATTCGTATGCAGGGTTCAAGATGGCTGGGACCACAGCTGTGTTGGTAGTAATAAGGTTACAGGTGAGTTACAACGTTTTCAGTAGAACTATATGGGATTTACACGCATAAAATTGCATACTTTGACTGCTGCCGGGCGATCCATTCACCACTGGGTTCACAGCAATAGTAAATGCCATGGAATGTGATGCTTGGGCTGATTTGTATGCAGGGTTCAAGACCGCAGGGACCACAGCTGTGGTGGGGTATTAGACAGTAGTAATAAAGTTATAGGTGAGTTTTAATGTTTGAAGTAGAACGATATGGGATTTACACGCATGAAATTACATACTTTGACTGCTGCCTGTCAATCCATTCACCACTGGGTTCACGCCAATAGGAAATGCCATGGACTGGCCGAGTGGGCTGGGGACAGTAGGTGTGGTGATTGGATTGGAGTATAACGCTCTGGCCCTTTGGATTGCCTCTTGCCGTTTAGATTGGAGAAACTCTTGAGCCGAGGTCAATTGGCCAGTTGGAGGTCTGATTTTTGGAGGAGGTGCTGAGTTTGGAATCATTTTGTCGACACAGTCGTTGCATAATCCACGGAATACCACGGGAGATTTTCCACACTGGAAACAGAACATCTTTTTTTCTATGCAAGTTACGTTAGTTGTGTTTGGCTATTAAGGGTGCATAAGTATGGGATTCTGCTGCTTACTCTTGATCTAGAAATGGAAAGGACTGGGTCGTCTTGATGTTGTGAGGACAGGACTGGATCGTCTGGAAACTGTAAGGGAAGGGCTGGATCGTTGTCTGGATGTGACTTATGCAAGGCTTGTTTTGTCCTTATGTGTAACGAGTAACGTGTAACACTATGGAACGAACAGAATCTATGTGTTTACATTTCTGATACAGGTGGGGAATGTGGCTTCTGTAGTGCGTCATGCCCTGTATGATTTTCAGGCTGTATTTGACGTTTTTCAAAATTGATGGCTAATTTGACGGTTCAGTGCCATGCATGGCGGTTCAGGGGCAATGATGGCGGCTCAGGAGCATGGGTGGCCAATTTGGCGGTTGGATTCATTTTTCAATTTGGCCATTCTGGCGGTTCAGGGGCGTCATTTGGCGGTTGTTTGGCCAAATTGGCGGTTCATCCCCATGTTTTCATTTTTTTTGGCCAAAATGGCTGCTCAGTACCTCCATAAAATGCAGTATTGAAGATATAGTTTTCACTTTGATGCAAATTCATTGTTACCATAATTCTATACATGTCGGAAAGTGTAGGAAACAAATTAAAAATGTCAAAAAATAATGAAAATTAAGCTCTTAAAAATCAATTGAATTTTAAGGCTGATTGAAGTATTCAGTATGAACTGTTGAGTTTTAGGGGAGTTGAATGTTACCATTAAATTCTAAACACTCTTAAATGTAGGAAACAACTTTAAAATTTCAAAAAAGCATAAAAAATAAGGTAAAAAAAATTAATGCAGACAATTGAGTGAAAAAGTGAAGAATTAAATAAAAAACGGTGTCAAATGCAGCATACAAGATGTAGTTCTCATTTTGGTGCAGAATGATTTTTACCATAACTTTACACATGTCTTAAAGTGTAGGAAAAAAATTTAAAACATCAAAAAAGAATGAAAATTAACCTGTAGAAATTTAAGTGAAAAAGGGGGTGAGATTGATTTTAGTCGGAGATACATTTCGCAGGTGAATCGCCATCAACTCGTAAACATTTATCATCGCCTTTGGTCGTCGTCCAATCGCAGGAGCCTTCCCATCACCAAAACACGCAACATAGTTTTTCTTATCTCTGAGCCAGTCGATGATGATTTCATAGTCCTCTCTTTTTAGATGACCTTGGGATGAACCAAGTTCCTCATCATTCTTCTTTGATCGTGTATTTTTGGGAGTGGCCCTCTTAATTCTTTGGAGGGGTTCGAAGCGATCGTATGTTTGGGATTCTGGAAGCTTTTTTTGGTGGCATCTGTTGGGTGCAAGTAGTGGAAAAATAACAAATTTGTGAGGCCATTAAAATATAATTTAGTTCAGTTGAAGATAAATACCTTGAACGAATCAATTGATCAGAGTTGGTTTGATGACGAGTGATTTGCAGGGGTGAGTTAAGAGGAGATGTTGAAGAAGCCGTGGGGTGAGTGGGGTTTGAATTGTGGAGGATGTGGGGAATCGTGGAGGATTGAGGGAATCGTGGAGGATGGGGGATGGTTGAAATTTGAAATTGGATTTTAAATTTGAAATTCAAGAATTTTGGGCTAAAAAATGGGTTTATTTAGGCTATATTTGTTACGCCCCTGACAAAAGAAGTAGGTTATTTGGTCACTGCAAAGGTGGATTTGGTAAGTGTGGATTTTGCGAAACCAGTCAATTAAAAAGTGGTGGATTTCGTTATATTTGATACCCCCTAATTGCAGTATTAAAAATGTACCATTTATTTTTATTGAAATCAGATGCTACCATTAAATTCTACACACAACAAAACCTAGGAAATAAATTTAAAATTCCAAAAAAACTTGAAAAATAAGGTAAAAAAGTAGGGTCTTAGTTAAACGACTCCCAAATATTGGAGTTCCAATTCCCAAATATTTGGGACGTCGAGACAACTGGCTGCGGACGGTCCTCTCGACGTCGATCCCCCTATATTTTTTTTTCCCCGAAATTTTGGGAGTCAGACCTCCAAAGCGTCCGACTATTTTGGGAGTCGGAACTCCAAAATAAATAATAAAAAAAATATAAAAAAAGGAAATCCCCCGGGGGGATTTGGGAGTCGTTCCTCCAATAAATGGGAGTCGGGACAACGAAAAAACATAATAAATAGCAAACCATCAAACATAATAAAAAAACTACAAAATAAAACAAAAATAAATCCATCAAGACATTTAAAAATTCAACCCCATTGAATAAGGGGCCCCTTGAATAAATTCAAATCAAGTAAAAATAAAACAGCAAAATGGAGTAAAACAGACCAATTAAATAAAATAGAATCCAGGTAATCATCCTCCAATGAGAGGAGGAAAAATTGGCAAAAAGGAAATATCAGTAAAAACAGAGAGAAATGTATGCCCTCTTGAGCATATGGGAGGCAAAAGCTTCCTTCTTATTGGTTGGTTAAATGAACAAATATCATCAAAAGTAGAAATCACTGCTAATAATATTCAATTGATTGAAGAATCAAGCAAAACATGAATTTCACGTGCACTACTTAGGAGTTAAAACCCACATCAATGAAACAGAAGCAATAAATTGAAAGAAACAGAAAGAGAGTTAAAGGAGAGGACACAAGTAGGAGGAGGGGAACATAAGCAAGAAATTTAATCTGAGACAAAATATGGAGAAGGAGAGGAAGACATGAAGAATAAAATTGATAATGAGTGGTCCCTGGGAATAAAATTTTGCGTCCAACAGTCAGAACATGACAAGCTGAATACTTCTCCTCCCACGGTAAAGCCTCTGGTACGGCGTCTTCCTTCCAATCTTTCATAAGTTGTGGTGCAGGAAAGTATACAGGGTCAATCATTTCCAAGGCAACAAAGTGATTGGGGACATGAGCAATGCAGATGGGGGGATTGTTGTTGGGGGGACAGAAATAATGGAGAAAACTTAGAGAACCATGTAGAGAAATGATGAAACGCCGTCTCGAAGGCATTGGCCATAGCTTCACCGAAGGAAGGCATTGACATCCATTTGTCAACAGAACAGGGTTCAGGCGTGTCGACCTTGAGGCTGTCCAACATCTTGTCAATTCAATGGAAGATTTGCTTTTTGACATACCATTCCCTCCGGCTGGTGATTTCGGTGATGAGTGCCTCGCGGATCCGCATGTAATCACCCTGGTCTCGTCCCAAACACCACGCAACCGCTCGTTAGCCACAGTGACCATCGGATCTTGGGTTGAGTATGCTTTTCACTGAGTCCTTGATTATGTTGGGGAGATACTGGCGATAGAAGGATGAGTCCGCTTCGTCTGGCTCGTTTTCGTCAAATGGTTTGGGGGGAAGAACCGCGGGTTGCTCGTTGGATGGGGGTTGATCTTTCGCAGGGAGGCTCGCTGTTTTGATGGGTCGAATCTTCTTCTTTGGGGCTGGTCCTGCTTTGGTGGGAGGGGAATCTTCTTTCTCAGTCGTGGAGGGTGCGGCTTCGTTGGGCTTTGCAGGGGGTAAGTCAATTTTGGCTGGCGGGGGCGCTTTGACCCAAGCGCGACGAGGTGGGAGGATCCTCTTGCTTGGTTGGGGGCTGTTTTTCCTGGCCTCAGATGCCTCGATCTGTTCTTCTTCTTCCAACGCCTCGTCTTCTTCTTTCTGTAATGCCTTCTGGTCAGCTTTTCGGAATTCCTTCATGGCCGCTTTCGCATTGTTCAGCTTCTGTTTCTTTGCTTTGACAGCTTCACTCTCGTCTTTCTTCCTCTTCTTCTTGACATGTTTGAACTCCAACAGTTCCCATTTGGTGGTCCTTGGTTTGTTTGTTGCGCCTTTCGGTCGTCCTCGAGTCTTCTGAGCTTCGGTCGGCAGCTGGAAATCTACTACCGCCCCAGATCCTTCAAGCAGCTGGTTGATGGCGGCGATTTGGATTGCCTGCTGGGCTGGATTCATCGAACGTAGCCGATCCGTTATCTGCTCAATCATTGGGTTATCATTCTGGGTTGCCCTTGGGGATGGATCACGTCTGAGGACCTGAGGAGGGATTCATGTCAGAACCAAATGGGAAGAAGAACAAAATGGAAACACATGGGAAGATATATGAAAACATACATTCATGTGCCATTGGAGATGGAAATCTTCCGGTGATACCATTCCTCCCGATTTTGAGATTTCCAAGAGTTGATGTTTGCAAGGTATGCCCATTTGAAGGACATATCGTTGATTGCAATGCACATTTTCACCGAGTTGCTTCCCGGCCGTAAGATTCTTGAAAGCCCGACTGAGGGCATAATTCGTGATCTTCCCAAGGCAGGGTCGGAAGATGCTGCCAAGGTATCGAAGTGTCATGATCTTTTGCTGGAAATGGATGCTGGTGATCTGGTGATATTGCTCTGCAATTGCATTGCTGATGAGCCGGACCGCCAAGGCAAAAGTTTGTTGTGGCCCAAGGAGGTGAGACTTGATTAGAGATGGCAACGGGTACCCGTTTGCAGGTACCCGGTACCTGTTTGCGGGTACCTGTTCTGCTGAGCGGGTACCCGCCCGCGGGTGCTGGGTGCGGGTGCGGGTGTTGAGTTTTGGGACAAAAAACGGCGGGTACCCGGGTACCCACCTTGACACCCGCCCTGACACCCGCCCTGGGAATGCAGTTTGGGAGTTTTGGGCTCTACCAGGGTGTCAGCGGCCCATGTAGGACACCAGTTGGTGTCTTACATGGGCCTGTTGAGGCCGGAGGGAACCCTCCGGCCTTCAAGACTGTACACTGTCTCAATGGCCGGAGGGATTCCTCCGGTCATTGAGACTGTACAGTCTCAATGTACAGTCTCAATGACATTAGGTTGTGGCCTCACCAACCGGAAGGAATCCTTTCCGGTCAATGAGGTTGTTATACCTCATTGATTGGAAGGATTTCCTTCAGATCGATGAGGTACAACGACCCCATCGACCGGAAGGAATCCCTTCCGGTTGATGAGGTTGTTATACCTCATTGACCAGAAGGAATTCCTTCAGATCGATGAGGTATAACAACCCCATCGACCGGAAAGAATTCCTTCCAATCGATGAGGTGGAACAGCCTCATCGACCGGAAGGAATCCCTTCCGGCCGATGAGGCCCATAGACCCCTCCACACCCGCAGGTACCCGGGTACCCGCCCTGGCAGACATGGCGGGTGCGGGTGCGGGTGCGGGTGTCCAAAAAAAGTGATTTTTGAGGCGGGTACCCGCACCCGCTGCGGGTACCCGGGTTCGAAGTGACATCTCTAGACTTGATGAATGCATGGGCCGATTCCATTCGCGAGGTTGTCCGGTTGTTGAAATGAGTCACGGTGCATGTCCACGCATTGGAGTAGTGTTCAGCAACAGGTAACCAGTTTGAGGAGGCATATTTTTCAAAGTCTGGCCCATATTTGTGGGCCCAGCGGGAAAAACTAGCTTGAAAATTGGACCGGGTCGAAATCTTTACTATGTTCATCCAGTATTGAAGCATATCCTTTCGTTGTTTGTCTGTGGCAATGAGTTTTGCACCTTTGGCCAAGAGATTCTTCTGAATATGCCAAACACAAAGCATGCGGTGGGCGTTGGGGAACGAGGTTGCAAGGGAATTCATTAGAGCCTGCTTGCGATCCATGATGACGACAGGAGGGAGGGGGATCTCGTTGCTTTGGAAAATCGTCAGAAGTGATTGCAGGGCCCAATCGTAGAACGGCTTGGTTTCCTCCGCCATGAAACAGAATGCGACACTGAACGTCTTGTTTGAACCGGTGATTCCAGACACGTGGAGCAGAGGCATGCGGTACTTATTTGTCTTTTACGTGCAGTCAAGTAGGATGATGTGGTGGTATGCCTTGAGGAGCTTCAGGGAATCAGAGTGACAGAAAAAAAGCGCTTTGAGGTTACCTTCTTGATCTACTTTGGTGGCGGTGGTGAAGTTGGTGTTGGCCAGAGTTTTGTTCAAGTGAACAATGGGACTTATCCCTTGAAGCGTTTCCTGGCGAGCCTTTTTCTGGGCTGTGTAAATCGTGCTGACGGTCGCTAGTATGATCTCATTCGGGTGAGTCTTCTTCAGGGACCGGAGTATCTCGCTAGGCCTCAATCCTGCCTTGCCAAGAGCCTTCATTTCTTCATAAAGACGTGGTGTGAGCCTTCTGTTGGTGGTGTGCGCAGACATGCTTTCCGACGGCTCGTGATTATGAGCGCCCGTCCTCACTCGGAAGTCCCACTGATTGACGCCCTTTTTGTGAAAGTAAGCTGTGGCCTCCCATGGGCACCGTATCAACCGAGTCGAACGAGCCTTCCCGTGAGTTTCACCGGGGCGCTTATTTTGGTCTGGATGGCCTCCTCTAGAATCCCCAAATGAACAGTACCAGTCAATAACCCAAAACCCAAGGTACAGGACATGGTGAGAGACGGAAAAGACCAAATTCGGGCTGCTTACCTGTCACATTTGAAGAGCTTGCTCTTTCCTTTGACTGTTCGCCTGAGCACAATTGCATAGCCATTATGCAATGCAAAGCGCTTAACATCGTCAATCATGAACTCGGGATCAGCGTAAAGTGCTGCGGGGGGGTTCGGGAAATCATATAGCCGGCAGTTTGTCTTAGGACAGATCCGGTAGTCGTCCGGGTTGAAGTTTGTAACGAAATCGGTTTGGTCATTGACCGGGTCCTCGCCTTCGCCTTCCTGATTAGCGTTACCCGTGCTGGGGCCTGGGGCCACCTCACCGGTGTCTTTGCGTACATCCTGACTTGAGTTTCCTGAACCGGGTTGAGACTCTTCAGTTGCTCATCCAATATCTCAGCGATTGCGGCCTCGTCTTTGTCTGAATCTTCCTCGAGGATTTCGTCCAGAACATCCTTGGAGAGCTCTTCATATATTTCATTGACAGTCTTCTCCGCCTTCTCTTCCTCTTGAATGTCTTCATGTTGAGGTCCTTGGGAGTTCTGGGATGCACAGAAGTCCTGCGTGAGTTGTAAGAGGGCGGGGTCGATACCGTCTAGAGGGTTTCCCGAGGATTGGATAACCTCATCTGGTGGGGCTTGACCAGATGGGACGGCCGGAGAAGCTGGGATCTGACCATGAGCCTGAGTGAAGACAGTCGGGAGGCAGCGGCTGGAGTGGCTTGAGGGGAAACAACCGCGGGTCCATTGGCAATATCTTGAGGCATGAGGTCAGAGGGTGAGGGTGGAATGTCACTGTGAGGCTGAATGTTGCTGTGGGTCAACATGGGGGCAGGATCATCTTCACCGGGGGAACGACCGGTTACGGAGAGACCGGCGTCGATACCTTCAGAGAAGGTTTGCATCTGGAGGTTGGGACATCACGGCAGGTCTGTCAGCAAGAGCATGAGGGGTGGAGACAGAGTAGAGCCAGAGGGTGAGGAATGAAATGAATCTTACCTTGAGGCTGATTTAAACCATCAGTAGGTACGCCAAGCTTGTCGTCCAGAGGTCCATCCGACGGATTCGCTCCACGCAACGGTGAGCCTACGATAACGTCTACCACGGCGTCTCCTTTGGGGGCTTGAGGGGAATCTTGAGGTCCTGAGACCGCAGGTCTGTCAGCAAGAGCTTCACGGGTGGAGAAAGACAGAGGGTGGAGACAGAAGGTGGATACAGAGGGTGAGGAATGAAATGAAACTCACCTTGAGGCTGATTTAAACCATCAGTAGGTACGCCAAGCTTGTTGTCCAGAGGTCCACCAACCGGATTTCCTCCATGCAACGGTGAGCCTACGACCACGTCTACCACGGCGTCTCCTTTGGGGGCTTGAGGGGCTTGAGGGGCATCTTGGGGTCGTGAGTGGTCTGGGTGGGGGTCTTGAGGCTCTTCATGAGGTCCTGAGGGGTCTTTGTGGGGGGCTTCAGGCTCTTGATGGTCTTCATGAGATCCTGGGGGGTCATCTTGGGGGCCTGAGGTGTTTTGAGGGCCTTCATGGGGGTCTGTTGGGTCTTCTTGGGGGCCTGGGGTGTTTTGAGGTCCTTCATGGGGGTCTGTGGGGTCTTCTTGGGGGCCTGAGGGGTCTTGAGGGTCTCCTACAGGGGCTGGGTTGCTGATTGGGTGGGCTGGAAGGCCTTCTTGAGGGGCTGAGTTGGGGGTTGTGTGGGTAGGGGGGCTGTTAGGCATGGTTGGGGTTGTTTGGGGGGGTGGTTGGGTTGTTTTTGGGGTTCTGGGAGGGCTGTTGGTGGTTTTGGTAGGTCTGGGGTGTTCCTGATGGTCCTGGTAGGTCCTGGTACGCTTCGCTAATGTTCGCTAACGGTCCGTTCGATCGTTTCGTTTGTTTTTGCTAGGGAGGGGAGGGAGGGAGTCTGGGAGTCGCGGGCGCGGGTGGGAGGCAGTCGGATATCGACTGCCGTGGGCCCGAGGTGGATATACATATAAGGTTTTTTTTATATACATATATTTTTATTTGGTGTCGCTCCGACTCCCATTTATTGGAGGAACAACTCCCAAATCCCCCCGGGGGATTTCCTTTATTTTTATTTTTTTTTATTATTTTTTTTGGAGTTCCGACTCCCAAAATAGTCGGTCGCGTTGGAGGTCCAACTCCCAAAATTTCGGGAAAAAAAAAATATAGGGGGATCGACGTTGAGAGGACCGTCCGCAGCCAGTTGTCTCGACGTCCCAAATATTTGGGAGTCGGAACTCCAATATTTGGGAGTCGTTTAACTAAGACCCAAAAAGTAATGCATACAATTAATGGAAAAAATGAGTGGAAAAAAAATAATAAACGAAAGTCATTTTTATTGAAAATGGACTTCCCATTAAATTCAATTTCTACGCATTTTTTAACCTAGGAAACAATTTTAAAAACTTAGAAAAAATTTAAATTAATGGTAAAAAAAATTAATTGCGAAAGCGCGTTTAAACACGGATTGCGCGTGTGCTGTGCCGCAGCAAAACCGCGTCAAAACGCGGAAAATGCGGGTTTTTTTATTAAGGCCCTTTTTATTTT